CCCATGATTTATTAAAGGATGGAAAGCAAGCCTGGTCATATTTGTACATTGTTTTTATTTGTGTTTTATAGTGTTTTTTAATTTTTTTTTTAAATTTATTTATTCGGAACATTTTAATTAATACAGCATATTTATAAAAAGAAAAATCATTGCTACTTAAACATGAGAAGGCACTTTATAGATTGTGGAAGTGAATGGAATTGTGTGAAATTATTTATCTACAAAGTGTATACATATAATGCAATATGTGTAAAAATATATTATTTCAATAAATATTAGGGTTTATAAGAAATAAAGGTAAATATACATGGAAAGCAATAAAGGCACTTTATGTTGCAACTTGCGCACGGTGACATTTGCAAAAATATGACAAATGACATTTACTGAAATAAACTTACACATAATATATTAATTATTTTATTGGAAGGTGCCTTCATCCATGATATCATTGCATATTGTAGATAAAAATAGGTATTATTAAGCCTTTGCACTGTGTACTCTATTGACACTACGCACTGAGTACTCCACTGGCACTATGCACTATGTACTTTACTGATACTATGCACTGTGTACTTCCTTGCTGGCACCAGAGTACTAGAATGGTACTTCTGTATAGTTCTCAAGACGCACTACGATTGTACATCCTAATTGTTTGAAATAGTGAATTAACACCTCTTTCTAATCTGGCCGACCCTCGACACTCAGGGGAAAGGCGAGACGGATATACAACTAGACAGTTACTGGTACCATTGGAATTTTAACTCTTCGCGTGCTGCTGAAGATGGGGACGGAGCGCTTAAGGGGGTGTCCCGGTTGCTGTGATATCGATTCCTAATTCAACATTCAACATTCAACATTCTACTTCCTTCTAGTTCCTATTCGGTACTGAAATGACACTTATTTCTAGTCCAGCTAGGCACTGGAAGGACTCATTTCTAGTTTCCCACTATGTACTGAAATGGTACATCTTTTTAGTTCCCACTAGGTACTAGAATGACACTCATTTTTAGTTCCCACTAGGTACTGGAATGGTATATTTTTCTAGTTTCCCACTAGGCACTGGGATGACTCTTACTTAGGGTTAGGGTTAGGTTTGGGGTTAGGGTTAGGCTCGCATTGTAACTCTTTTAAGAAAAAAAAAATCTATAACTTCAGATCAAAGTTAAATAACAGCTTTCATCACTACAAAGTTTTAATTTAAAAAAAAATAAAGGCATAAACGTTTTGAATATTACAAGTTCAGTAGCAGTAGAAGTGTTTTACAAAATTCATAAAATTTAGACAAATTACATCACTTAGAATCCAATAGAATATAATTTAAACAGATTTTAAAAAAAGAGGGAAAGAAAGAAAGCAAGCAAGAAAGAAAGAAAGAAAGAAAGAAAGAAAGAAAGAAAGAAAGAAAGAAAGAAAGAAAGAAAGAAAGAAAGAAAGAAAGAAGAAAAGAAAGAAAGAAGAAAGAAAAAAGAAAGAAATATAAGAAAAGAAACAAGAAAGAAAGAAGATCGAAGCAGGCACGAAGAAACGACGAAAGAAAAGAAAGTGAAAGAAAGAAAGAAAGAAAGGAAAAAGAAAAATGAAAGAATGTCGTAGAAAAGAAAGAAAGAAAGCTGCCAGAAAGAAAGAACCAGCAATCTGCGTAAAGAAGAGAAAGAAAGAAAGACTCAGAAAGTAAAGTCCAGAGGTGGACGAAAGAAAGATTAAGCCGGTGAAGAAAGAAAAGAAAGAAAGAAAGAAAAGAAAAGAAAGAAGAAGAAGAAGAAGAAAAGAAGAAGAAAAGAAAGAAAGAAAGAAAGAAAGAAAGAAAGAAAGAAATATTAGGGGAAAATAAACAAAGGGAAACAAAAACACTAAACAAATATAAGACTGGTAAAGTGAGTAGAATATTTTGCTCACACATTGCTAAAAATGAGAGCAATGGGAGTAAAGATCAGCACAGCAAGGCACGAGAGGCACACACGAAGTTTGAGAGGTCAGTTATTCAACATATGACTAACATATTTAGCAGAGAAATTCCCGTTTTTGATTCCGGGGCCCCATTGTTGGGGAAACAAGAATAGATCAAATGTCTCATCACTAAGCATGTCGTAAGAGTCCCTTAATTAAGGGCATCCTCGGAAGTCGAAGAGCAGCTGCCAGAAAGACAATGAGCCAGCAATCTGCGTACAAATAAAACAGATCTGTGAAACAGATGTGTACGCAAGACTCAGGTTCTTGTGCAAGAGTAAAGTCCAGAGGTGGACGAACATCCAGAAGTTTTTGCCAGCTATTACAGAAGAAGAAGAAGAAGAAGAAGAAGAAGAAGAAGAAGAAGAAGAAGAAGAAGAAGAAGAAGAAGAAGAAGAAGAAGAAGAAGAAGAAGAAGAAGAAGAAGAAGAAGAAGAAGAAGAAGAAGAAAAAGAAGAAAAAGCCGCGAGATACTGGGAGAGAAAAGGAAATGGGTTGGGGAGGGTAAAGGGCATGGTGCACCATAAAGATGACCGGTGTGCTGTGAAGATAACCAAACTCCTCACTTATAACCCAAGCGAAAAAGAGAATGCATTAATAAATACAAATCACTTAAAGCCACTATTTAATTGTAACAAATCTGTAAATAATAAAATATACCAATAGAGCGACCGCGGAAAAAATCGGACTGATGGCATTAAAGATATTTTACATCTATTTGGAATAAAAACAGCCTTGTACTGCTCATCCAGGCTGGGTTGCAGTCCACGCCTCCACATGACGCTTAGCAACAACAGTTGATGATGATGATGATGATGATGACGTGAGATCATGATAAAGGAAAAAAAAAAATAATTACAAACAGTAATTAAAATGTAAATAAATTTGTACAGATAATGTATTTATTAAGCCCATATTTACAAGGAAGAAAAATTAAAAAGATTAAAATTAGGCAGGTATTACATATTATCAAGAAAATGACTTTCAATACACAGTGAACACAAACCTCGGGCAAATATTATGTAATTAATTCAAGAACATCAACTTAGAAACCGAACACTAAGTAGGGTGAAACCATGGCAACAAGTGATTACATTACATTTGGGTAAATTACCTATTTACAGGCTTTTATTAAGTTCGTTTTTGTGTGTGTGTGTGTCTGTCTAGTACAAATTTCGCGATAGATTTGTTTTCTGTCTAGATGCGTTTTGGATGTTTAACACACAGGAGACAGAGGAGTGTTCGGGAACAAAAGAACAGATTTGTTGCCTACAAAAGAGAATCCTTTACTGGAATACTTTTACTGGACAAAGAAGGCATTCTTAAGACTATTTATGAATGGATGCTAATAGAATACACGAGAGCTGTGTAGCGCAGTCGACAGGAGGCTCGCTTTCAAATCCAGCTGCGACTCGCTGCAGCCACGGTCGGTGTTCGAAACATGACGGTTCCCGGGGTTCACCCAGCCTCTAGGAAATTGGTACCAGAGTTGAAACTCTGGGGTGAATGGAGGAACGTCGCTGTAGCGACTGAGTTGACGTGCGCACGGCGACACAGACGGACAATTTCTTATCAGCTGTCCGTGCTGGTGGCAGAGCACTTATAGTTTATAACTGTGTGCAATGACGCTGGTTCACATCTCCCGACTTTGTTTTACCTTTACCTTTAGAATACACAAAGTTAGTAATAACAACATGTCTAAGAAAATGTTAAATAGGAGTGTATCCAGCAAGGAGGAACTTACGCGAGGAGAGTGATGTCTGTATAATCAGTGTGCTACGGTAACAGTTAGCAACTACACCTGATGGCATTTGCTGTGGGAGACGGAGCATTTTGGCTATGCCCGGTGGGCTTTGATGTCAATTTTTAAATCAACAATTAGTTTTATAGAAAGTTTTCAATTAGAACAATAAATTATACAGCAAATCTACCATATTCATTTTTTTTCGTTTACATCTGTGCAATTTTAAAGAGAGAAAGAGAGAGAGAGAGAGAGAGAGAGAGAGAGAGAGAGAGAGAGAGAGAGAGAGAGAGAGAGAGAGAGCGGTAAAAGAAGAGGACGAAGAAAAAGAAAGAAAAAAGAAAAGGAAGACATAATTATATATTATATCATCATCAAGTGCCTTGCCGAATGGCGTGGGCGATCATGCCTCTTCACAATCAATCTGCAACTGCGTGTATCAGTTCGTGTGTTGACACCCCTCCATGCCATGACAAAAGAATATATTATAAAGTAATATATTAAATCAAAATATTTATTACCAAAGTCTTAATTATATTGTACAGAATGGCAAATAAATATATAATGTTGAAATCTGAAGACAGATACTTTACAGTAAGTAAAGTAAAGATCCCTTTTCACGCCTTTCGGCGCATCGGGCATATGGGCAGAGCGTCCCATATTTTTTCAGACCATATATAATGTGCACTCTGTGGGTAAATGTGGTCATTACGCCGGCCGTCTTTACTTTCCCAGGACAGCCCATCCTGGTACCCATTTTAGGCTAGGTCGACCTGCGACGTCCCATACCACGACAAAAATCCACGCAGCCTGCAGTGGGTTTCGATCGCGGTATGCCGGCTCACGAGTCGGACTCGCAACGCCTTAGCCACGGACGCCGCGATACTTTACAGTAGGACATATATACATGGCTGCGAGCTCTCAGCACAGTTGTAAATTTTCTGGGGGAAGAGGGGTGGGTTGACTGGGGTCCGAGCCACTAAATTATTGAGGGACGGGGCTGTGAGCCCCCAGATGCATGAGGCCTCTTGTTATTGTTTACAGCATCACATCTCTATTAAATGTCACATCATCAGAAAATCCTTCAGTTGTGTGATGGATTTCCCTTGCACCCCGTTCATCACTTCTCACAGTCCTCTAACAACCTAGAAGTAAATAATTTAATGAGGTCAGTTTGAAACATGACACTGACGTCACGAAACACGATGAACAAACGAAGCAAGAGAACAAACAAAGACAAAAACCATTCATTGAAGATCTGAACGACTATCTGCTCAGACACACAACCTCTCCAACTGCTCCAATGGTGTCATCAAGAAAATGACCACTCCTCCTTACAAAGTCCTTCCTTACAGGCCTGACAAAGATCTGCGTTATGTTGATTTCGGGGTTTCCCTTGGCGACGGTCAATCCTCAGTGGGGGTCGGACAAACCCATAGAAGACTTGACCAACCCTGTTGTACACATTACCAATCACCTGAAAAAGAAGCAACATTGGTAACGTTGTCATGACCAAGTCTGTGTAAATGTTAAAGAGCTATAATAAGTAAAACTACTGAATGTTTGTGTATTTTAGACAAAGCATTAAGGTCTACTGCGTCCGTAAATTGTTACTGTGAGTGTTATTCGACATATGCTTTGTTAATATAAATTTTTGTAACCTATGGTACTATTTCAATGGTTTGAAATGAATTCTGTCCGTATTCCATAGTTGTGGATTTCAAACTGTACGATAGACGTGGCCAATAAGACACCTTTTTTTGGAGGTGCCTAGTTGACCATGTTCTTAGTGTACTTGTATCCATGGCGAGGCGCACACGCTGTCTGGAGGTGACAGGTTCAATTCCCGTCACGGTAAAAATAGCTTCCGATTTTTATGTTGCCTAGTGTGTTCTTCTAACTTTCTACTTCTTTCTATGAGTGCCGATCAATTCTAAAATTGTGAAAAGTTTTTGTACGGAATGTAGTAACTGTTTTTATTATATGTTTATCGTAAGAGAAGGAGAAGACCTTGCTGCAGTTTGCTGTATGTATTTTGACTGTGACCAACGTAGTGGTGTGAATTGGAAGATTCAGAAAATGGCGCGATTTCTGTTGCCGCAATATTGGTGGTGCCCTTATGTGATTAAAATTTATCGCCTGTGCAACTGCTGATCTGTTGGGGACTTCTTTTACCATCAATGATGAACTGTATTCTAATGTCAAACTGTTTGTGTTAGCACTTCCGGTGGCTACCGTATGCTTTTAATGCGTGTGTACGCTAGATATGCTGAGACAGCAGTCTGTCAATCTCTCCACAAGGGACTGCGACGAACATTCTGTGTGTTTTTCGTTGGCACAGGAGCGGAGCAACTATGGGTTGACCCATTTGCTATGAAGCTGAACTAAGACTACAAGACTACCCGACATTTTTGTATCAATATTATTGCTTGTGAGATATGGCAGACATTGTTATTGAAAGTGACTTTAAGAGCAGGAAAATGTACCCCCTTTTCTGTTTTTCTTTCTTCTTGGGGCACACTAGCTGTAAACTCAGAGAAAAGTTTTATTTGTTCGTCCACTCCTGAAATTAGGGAATCGCCGTGGCGTTGGCGTCTAGACGCCCGCATGTAGATCGGAAGGTCGTGGGTTCGCGTCCAGAATGTGCCGGGCTTTTTGGGGTTAAAAAATGACCTTGACTTCCAGGTCGATCTAGCCTTGAATGAGTACCTGGTGCAGTCCTGGGAAGTAAAGGTGGCCGGCGTGATGCTGATAACATTGGTCTATAAAACTATAGGTCTATCCCTATATACGTGTGTTTTGAGTGCACACCCTTTGTACAAATCTGGCTTATTTGCATGTAGACCAATGATCCCTATCTTCTAGTCAGACGGATTCAGACTTCAAATGAAGCATCCCTACTTTGTTTTTCCAAAGATAACTGTTCAAGGAAGTCGGTGGGTTGGAGGAATGGGTATGTCCCCCCCCCCCCCCCCAACATGGATACCGGAGCCCACACGGGATTTTTTTTTGGGGGGGGGGTGGGGTGGGGGGGGGGTAATGTGTGTTGGAATACTCAGGTGTTGTAAGATTAGTGTAAACTGAACCGAAACGCTGTTGGTTGTGTTTGATGACACGATTGCTAACTAACCAGACTCTGCAACCAATTTAAATAATGCGGACACTAACAATACATTGTACAATTTATTGCCAGGCATATCTTCGCTGTATCTCATCAGGTGCGTTACTACAGAGTTACATCAACATAAAATGAAGCAAAACAAAAACTGAATAAATCCAACTGAAATGCGAATAGTTTCTGTCGACACATTGTGGTGTGTTTTGGCCACCGGAAGCTCGCCGGGGTCAAGTGACTTACCGGGGTAACTTTAAACATACCTCTGCTTCCTCTGTAACTCTGCTACCAGTACCAGACATGGCCACCCACAACAATCCAGACAAGAAAATTACTAATCATTAAAAAAAAAATGTCTGAGAAGGACCGCAGGAGTGATCATCAGATATACAACAAAAAGGATGTCGAAGGAGAAAATGGAGACACGGAACTAGCTCTTATTTACATACACAGATAATAAATCAAAGGGTTTGCCCATTTGGAGAGAAGAAGTGTGACGCCATACTACACAAGACATATGGTAAAGGAGGAGAAGGACGTAGAGCACGAAGCAGACCAGGAACAAGATGAAAGATATCATCAGAGAAACTCTACAACAGCACCATATGTCTATGGCGAGGTGGTATGAAGAGCTAGAAGCTGAACCGTATATATACTTTGACATCCGAATCGCTCAAAGAGGAAATGTGAAGAAGAAGAAGAAGAAGAAGAAGAAGAAGAAGAAGAAGAAGAAGTAGTAGTAGTAGTAGTAGTAGTAGTAGTAGTAGTAGTAGTAGTAGTAGTAGTAGTAGTAGTAGTAGTAGTAGTAGTAGTAAAGTCGTAGTAGTAGTAGTAGTAGAAGAAGAGAAGTAAGTATTAGTCGTAATAGTAGTAGAAGTAGTAGTAGTAGTAGTAGTAGTAGTAGTAGTAGTAGTAGTAGTAGTAGTAGTAGTAGTAGTAGTAGTAGCAATAGTAGTAGTAGTAGTAGAAGTAGTAGTAGTAGTAGTAGTAGTAGTACTAGTAGTAGTAGTAGTAGTAGTAGTAGTAGTAGTAGTAGTAGTAGTAGTAGTAGTAGTAGTAGTAGTTCAAGAACAAGAACAAGAAGAACAAGAACAAGAAGAACAAGAACAAGAAGAACAAGAACAAGAAGAACAAGAACAAGAAGACCCTCATAGCCCTAGCATACCTTGACGACTTCCTCTGGATACCACATTGCGTGCTCGTAGCTCCCGTTCTTGCACTTCTGGCACTGCTGGCCGTACAACTTGAACATCACGTAACCAGAGTTAGTGGCGTAGTTGAGGTGGAACCAGAAAATGACACGCCCTTTCATAGACGTCCAGCCGTGACCGCATTCCTGCGGACAAGGTCAGCTTGGTCAAACGTTAAATTGAAAAATTAAAAAAAAATAAAAAGCTGCCAATCATTGCCTTTGTGATACCAATTCTGCGGTGTAGGCATGAGGGTCTTCATGCCTTGGGATTTGGGGCCGCATGGCTAGTGCTGTCGCCACAGCTGTGCAGGTGAGTATTTGATTTTGCCCCCGAGAGAGAAAACCCCAGTCTTACCGGGGATTCGAACCTGGGTCTTTCGCTTGAGAGCCCCACGTTCTAACAATTCAGCCAGCAGCTCCTCGTGGTTGAAAACACAAATTCCAAACTTGCTCCTTGTTCAAATGGTTAGATGCCCAGTTAAACAGAGGACAGTTTTCTCTGCTGTGTTATTTGTATTCCAGAAGAGCTGCGTGGTCTCGAGGTGTCCGCCTCGAGTGCTAGAGGTTCTGGGTTCAATCCCCGGTAAGGGCTAGGATTTTTTCACGTGGACTTCGAATTCTAGTAATTCCCCCTGGTCTCAGGGTAGTGAGATCAGACGCCCGTGTGCATTGTCCCTTGGCAGTGGGAAATCGAAAAGAGTAGCCTAACGACGTTGCCCGGGCAAAGTTTGGAGTTACAAATATATCCAAAGTTTTTCCTCGCCGGTGCTACAGAGCCTGTGCATTGTGCTGAGCTTCTTCGGACTCTGACTTGAGTTAAAAGAAGAACAGAGCACTCATGGGGTACTTCTCAGGTGCCATGGCGTTGATCCGATGTTCAAACCTCTTCATTTGTATTCCAATTCTTTGTGGTGTGTAGTTACTCCTGATTTTCCTGTTTCGTGGTCTTCCATATCTTGTGTGGTCTTGTGGGTCGTGGCGGCGTCTGGCCTCTTTTCCCTGTCCTGTTGGGTTTTGTTGGTTTCCCTGTCCTGTTGGGTTTTGTTGGTTTCACTGTTCTGTTGGGTTTTGTTGGTTATTTTAGCAAGGAAACAGCTGATTGCCAAGTGAACACCTCGTGGCTTCTCGTGAAACTATTACACTATCTTACATACTTCCACACACACACACACACTCCCGCAAATACACTCACACACAAACAGACACATACTTCATACACACGCTGAGAAAGTTAGTGTCCCAGTTAGCTCGTTATCTCTGAAGTTTATCTATCGTTTCTAGTAGAAAGTGTTTTTTTTTTCTCTGTAAAATCTGCGTGTGTTTAAACACTTGTGCAGTTAAGCTGAAGCATGTTTATTAAGGTTCGTGATTTGACAACTCTGGATTTCTTATGGCTTACCGACTGATAAGATCTCTCCCTCCCCCCCCCCCCCCCCCCCTTAAACCAAACAAGGGATTATAATTATTTTCTGGGACAGTTTTGAATTCGCAGCAAAAATGCCACACAGATACAGCCAGTCAATGGTTCGCGCACATAGAGAGAATTGCATTAACGCCATACCAAACATAGCATACACTAACCGAGGACAAGGGGGTAGAGCACAATGCAGACCGAGAACAAGATGGACAGACAGCCTCAGAGAAACTCTACAACAGCACGGTGTGTCTATGGTAGAGGCCACCAGAAGAGCAACAAGCATAAACTTACATTTCCCTAAAATCCGAAGCGGTAAAAGAGGAGGAGGAGGAGGAAGAGAGGATGAGTTGAAGAAGAGGAAGAAGAAGAAGAAGAAGAAGAAGAAGAAGAAGAAGAAGAAGAAGAAGAAGAAGAAGAAGAAGAAGAAGAAGAAGAAGAAGAAGAAGAAGAAGAAGAAGAAAAAAGAAGAAGAAGAAGAAGAGAAAGAAGAAGAAGAAGAAGGCTGAAGAAGAACAAGAAGAAGAAAAAGAAGAAGAAGAAGTAGAAGAAGATGAAGAAGAAGGCTGAAGAAGAACAAGAAAAAGAAGAAGAAGAAGAAGAAGAAGAAGAAGAAGAAGAAGAAGAAGAAGAAGAAGAAGAAGAAGAAGAAGAAGAAGAAGAAGAAGAAGAAGAAGAAGAAGAAAAATTAAGAAGTAGAAGAAGAAGAAGAAGAAGAAGAAGAAGAAGAAGAAGAAAGAAGAAGAAGAAGAAGAAGAAGAAGAAGAAGAAGAAGAAGAAGAAGAAGAAGAAGAAGAAGAAGAAGAAGAAGAAGAAGAAGAAGAAGAAGAAGAAGAAGAAGAAGAAGAAGAAGAAGAAGAAGAAGAAGAAGAAGAAGAAGAAGAAGAAGAAGAAGAAGAAGAAGAAGAAGAAGAAGAAGAAGAAGAAGAAGAAGAAGAAGAAGAAGAAGAAGAAGAAGAAGAAGAAGAAGAAGAAGAAGAAGAAGAAGAAGAAGAAGAAGAAGAAGAAGAAGAAGAAGAAGAAGAAGAGGAAGAAGAAGAAGAAGAAGAAAAAGAAGAAGAAGAAGAAGAAGGCTGAAAAAGAACAAGAACAAGAAGAAGAAAGCTGAAGAAGAAGAAGAAGAAGAAGAAGAAGAAGAAGAAGAAGAAGAAGAAGAAGAAGAAGAAGAAGAAGAAGAAGAAGAAGAAGAAGAAGAAGAAGAAGAAGAAGAAGAAGAAGAAGAAGAAGAAGAAGAAGAAGAAGAAGAAAGAGGTCAAACCAAATTTTCATCATCATCATGTGCCCTGTCAACTGGTGTAAGCGCTCATGCGTGTCCGTAGATAAGGATCCGTGGTTGCCTGAAACAGCTCTCTTGATGATATCCCTCCATGTTATTGTTTCAGCCCATCCAGCATTATGTCTCTTGGTCTGCCTTTGCACCTCTTCCCACTGATCTTTCCAGTTGTCACGATGAACCAAATGTTATCTAGCGAAAACTGTAATGTCTTTTTCCCCTTTTGGTAGTCCTTTATGTGTTTCCTTGTTGTTGAACTGCACGACTCCATAGCGCCAGCGACGAGCTTTAAAGTTCTGCGAAGTGCATGCACATGGGAACCAAACTGCATAGTAATCTACAGTGGGCTTCGAAAACCAATCCTGTTGTATAAAAGCGAATCATGGACAGCCGATTGAAAGATATTGTGCGATATTACAGCACAAAGCCCTTGGGAACTTCCCACAAGGGTTCGTCCCCATCATTCTGCAGTAAGCTCAGTTTTGTAGTTCCGATATCACCAGTAACCTTCTGATTGTCTATCCGTCTCGCCACTCCCATGAGTGTTGAGCGTCGGCCAGATCCCCAGGTGAGAGTCATGGGCTGAGGCCAGAGCTGCCTTAACAGCATTATGGGCCCCTGGGCAAAGCAGTGTGCTGGGGCCCTACGACAAACACTCATTGGAAAGACACTTTTTTTTTAAGGCAAGTCATTTGACCCACCTCTCTCTCCCCCACCCCCCCCCCTTTTTTTCCCGGGCATGTACATAGCAGGCGGATGCGTTCAGACGGTCATCGCTGAGGCCATACCTGTTTCCTGATTTTTGAGAAACAAAAATTGTAAGGGGAGAAGGGAGTAGGGTTCGCCATGTATATTGTCTTAGTGGCAGACGCCTTTCAAGATGATTGTAAGCCATCTACAGAGGGACTCCGTCGTTTAGTTTGGGAACCTGCTCAAAGGCTGCTCAACCGACTGTCGTCACAGACAGTGTCACTGCCGTTTAGTTTGAGAGTCGCTGTGACCGGCGATGGCTGCTCAACGGACTGTCGTCACAGACAGTGTCACTGCCGTTTAGTTTGAGAGTCGCTGTGACAGGCGACGGCTGCTCAACGGACTGTCGTCACAGACAGTGTCACTGCCGTTGTCACACCGCCATGCTGCTTTCTGTTGACACATGTCAATGTGATAGCGATTAGCGTGTCTACTAAAGATTATCATAGAAGTTCCATAACTGAGTTTCAGCGCTCTATATGTGAGGGGAATTAGGGTGGGGGGGGGGGGGGGGAGGGGGGGGGGTGGGGGGGGGGGGGGGGGGAAGAGGGGGGGAGGAGGGAAGAGGACGTACTTCCTCTTAATAAGCATGTCAAAAAGAGCAACTGTTTGGAGATTTGTTGTAATCGGAAGCAACCGGGTAATAACTGTTGCAACTTCATAGCAAACTCTCACCCTATAGATAACTGGTTCTCCACCTTACTATTGCTAGGATCGTTAATGCAGTTCCTTGTGTTGTGGTGACCCTACCGATCTCACCAACCATACAATTATGTTCGTTGCTTCTTCATAACTTCTGTGAATATATTTTTTTTATTTTCCTGATGATGTTAGGCGACCCCTATCAAAGGGTCGTTAGATCCTCAAAGCGGTCACGACTCACAGTTTGAGTCCGCTGCGATAGATGTTCTGTTCATCACAGCCCTATGTGTAACAATTAACAGACTATAGACTCACAACACTCAGAGGAAAGGCAAGATGGACACAGCCAGATTGTGACCGGTACCATCAGTATTGGGACGGAGCACGCATGGGAATGCCCTGAGTGCTGTGATGTCAAATCTTGACTCAACTCAACACCCGGAGGGAGAGGAGGAGGAGGAGGAAGAAGAAGAAAAAGAAGAAGAAGAAGAAGAAGAAGAAGAAGAAGAAGAAGAAGAAGAAGAAGAAGAAGAAGACGAAGAAGAAGAAGAAGAAGAAGAAGAAGAAGAAGAAGAAGAAGAAGGAGAAGAAGAAGAAGAAGAAGAAGACAAAGACAAAGAAGATAAAGAAGAAGAAGAAGAAGAAGAAGAAGAAGAAGAAGAAGAAGAAGAAGAAGAAGAAGAAGAAGAAGAAGAAGAAGAAGAAGAAGAAGAAGAAGAAGAAGAAGAAGAAGAAGAAGAAGAAGAAGAAGAAGAAGAAGAAGAAGAAGAAGAAGAAGAAGAAGAAGACAAAGACAAAGACAAAGAAGATAAAGAAGAAGAAGAAGAAGAAGAAGAAGAAGAAGAAGAAGAAGAAGAAGAAGAAGAAGAAGAAGAAGAAGAAGAAGAAGAAGAAGAAGAAGAAGAAGAAGAAGAAGAAGAAGAAGAAGAAGAAGACAAAGAAGAAGAAGAAGAAGAAGAAGAAGAAGAAGAAGAAGAAGAAGAAGAAGAAGAAGAAGAAGAAGAAGAAGAAGAAGAAGAAGAAGAAGAAGAAGAAGAAGAAGAAGAAGAAGAAGAAGAAGAAGAAGAAGAAGAAGAAGAAGAAGAAGAAGAAGAAGAAGAAGAAGAAGAAGAAGAAGAAGAAGAAGAAGAAGAAGAAGAAGAAGAAAAAAGAAGAAGAAGAAGAAGAAGACGAAGAAGAAGAAAAAGAAGAAAAGAAGAAGAAGAAGAAGAAGAAGAAGAAGAAGAAGAAGAAGAAGAAGAAGAAGAAGAAGAAGAAGAAGAAGAAGAAGAAGAAGAAGAAGAAGAAGAAGAAGAAGAAGAAGAAGAAAAAGAAGAAGAAGAAGAAGAAGAAGAAGAAGAAGAAGAAGAAGAAGAAGAAGAAGAAGAAGAAGAAGAAGAAGAAGAAGAAGAAGAAGAAGAAGAAGAAGAAGAAGAAGAAGAAGAAGAAGAAGAAGAAGAAGAAGAAGAAGAAGAAGAAGAAGAAGAAGAAGAAGAAGAAGAAGAGCAACAACAACAACAATAACAACAACAACAACAACAACACAATAATAATAAATACAAGAAATAAGTTAAAAATGCAAACACGTGAACAGCTGGCCATATGTAAGAAAAAAAAAACATTTCTAATGTGAAGACACAAACAAAGGACAGCAGCAGACAAATAAATATTGATTATCCGCAGGCTTAACAAACAAACAGCCTTACCTGACAGGAGAATCGGACTTTGGCACTGTCCTTGAAGACTCGCCACCTGTCACTGGGAGGGTAGAAGGTCGGAACCAGGTACCAGGCATGTGGGTAGTACTGGGTAAACAGACGATCGAATTCCCCGTGCCAGACCAGTTCCATCCTGAAAATATCAAAGGTTAAAGGTCAGTTTTCTGACACTGTGTCATTTGGGTGGGTGAAAAGGGACAATTGTGACATTCGTTTGTCAACCCTACTGCACGCTGCAGAAACCTGCGCAATGAACAAGGTACTAGAATATCCAATGGAGTCTGGAAATAGAGATAGACAGAAGAAAACCTGCTTTAATATTAGAATTTAAAATTGTGAGTTTAATAAGGTAAGGTTATTTGCGTATCCTGATAAAGAAATTGACATTAAATGCAGTAAAGCAAACCAAGTATTGGGACAGCTAGCCCCCCTCTTACAGCATAAGACAATCTCAATCAGCACAAAGAGACATCTTATTCAAAGCATATTTATTCCAACTCTGTGCTACCAGTGCCAGACATGGTCACTCACAACAAACCATAAAAGAAAATTAGTAACCACGGAAATGAGATGTCTGAGAAGGGCTGTAGGAGTGACCATAAGAGATAAGATCAGGAATGAGATCATAAGAGAACAAGTCGGCACAGAACCAATTCTGGATTACATACAAAGACAGCAAGTGAAACGGTTTGCCCACTTAGAGAGAATGCCTTGTGACACCATACCATACAAAGCATACATGGAAAGAGAAGAAGGACGTAGATCACGGGGTAGACCAAGAACAAGATGGAAGGATAACATCAGAGAAACTCTACAACAGCACGATGTGCCTATGGTCGAGGCCGCCAGAAGAGCTAGAAACAGAACCTTATATCTCCCTCGACACCCACAGCGGTAAAAGAGGAAGTGAACAAGAAGAAGAAGAAGTTGCATATCCTTTACAGGACGTTGCAGAACTAACCCCAGCAGCCCCTGGCTGTTGTGTGGTTTCTCTGGGCAAATTTACGTCTAGTAGTTTGCCATTGCTACTGGACGGTCGGCCCACTGATACCATTGTTGAAGCCAAGGGGCATGGCCCGCAGCTGGGATCGAACCCGGCACCTTGGCATTATGAAGTGTTCGCATCGACTTAGCCACAGAGCCGACTTGAGTTTAGTATTAGTTTTAATTTCTTTTGATCTCCACCGATTTCCTAGTCGCCCGTGTGTCACCGGGGTCCTCACGGGAAGCAAAGATTAGTGACACTGCACCCTACCAGGCATGTCGTAAGAGGCGACTAAGGGTAGGGTTTGGTTTGAGGTTGGCTACCTCATCCTGTAAAAACCATAGCCGCAAAAACCAACCAACCATGGATAAGTCAAAAAGAGAAGCAAGTAAAATTCAGCCAACCAAGATGAGGGGAAGCTCTTCAAATAGAAGAAGTATGACACGGTGTGGAGAAAGCCGTAAGGAGTCCGGATCGTTGACGTACCTCCTCTCAGCTAGGAAAACCTCCAGAATTGGCACCTGGAATGTTATAAATCTCTATGATATAGGGAGAACAATAGAAGTAGCTAGGGAAATGAAACATTCTAGAATTAGTAACTAGAATGTCTTTGCATTGGAACCCACAGGGGTATAGGAATAAAGGAAAGCCAAAAAAAAAAAAAAAAAAAAAAAAAAAAAAAAAAAAAAACATGGAGAAGAGAGCTGGAGAATAAAGTTAGAAAGGTTGCGATATCCATAATACCGAGCCTAAGGGTTAACAACTCATGGCTTCTAGATACTAAAACAAACAAACGAACAACAGAAAGAAGAGGAAACACATGGGGAGAGCTTTGTGTAATGGCGAAGGATAGAAGGACTTGGCGTGAGTTGGTTGAGGGCCTATGCTCCATTAGGGGATAGAAAGGCGGAAGAAGATTCTCTAGTGCCATGACAGTTGCTCTTGCCTCCGGTATTCGTATTTTGAAACCTCAACCATTTGTCCCATGTTTATGTACCTTACTGCCCAGATATATGAATGACTCCACATCCTGGAGTGGGATACCGTTTAAAGAAATGATACTACTGTTTGCATGGTTTATTCTCATTATCTGTGTCTTTTCGTCATAGATTTTTAGACTAAGAACTTGTATATTGAGCTGAAATAATGAGAACTAGTTACTAATCACTAATATGTAGCGGTAATGGTGTTGGTGGTAGCAGTAGCAGTAGTAGTGCTATCATGAGTAGGATTAGTAGTAGTAACGGTGGTAGTAATTATGACGGTGGTAATGGTGGTAGTGGTTGTAGTAGTAGTTGTTGCAGTAGTAGTGGTAGTAGTAATGATGGTGGTAGTATTAGTGGTAGTGGTAGTAGTAGTAGTAGTTGTTGCAGTAGTAGTGGTAGTAGTAATGATGGTGGTAGTATTAGTGGTAGTGGTAGTAGTAGTAGTTGTTGCAGTAGTAGTGGTAGTAGTAATGATGGTGGTAGTATTAGTGGTAGTGGTAGTAGTAGTAGTTGTTGTTGCAGTAGTAGTGGTAGTAGTAATGATGGCGGTAGTATTAGTAAAGGTGGTAGTAGTAGTAGTAGTTGTTGCAGTAGTAGTGGTAGTAGTAATGATGGTGGTAGTAATAGTGGTAGTGGTAGTAGTAGTAGTTGTTGTTGCAGTAGTAGTGGTAGTAGTAATGATGGCGGTAGTATTAGTAAAGGTGGTAGTAGTAGTAGTAGTTGTTGCAGTAGTAGTGGTAGTAGTAATGATGGTGGTAGTAATAGTGGTAGTGGTTGTAGTAGTAGTTGTTGTTGCAGTAGTAGTGGTAGTAGTAATGATGGTGGTAGTATTAGTGGTAGTGGTTGTAGTAGTAGTTGTTGTTGCAGTAGTAGTGGTAGTAGTAATGATGGTGGTAGTATTAGTGGTAGTGGTTGTAGTAGTAGTTGTTGTTGCAGTAGTAGTGGTAGTAGTAATGATGGTGTTAGTAATAGTAGTAGTAGTAGTAGAAGTACTGGTGGTAGTAATAGTGGTGTCAGTAGTGATGGTATAGTAATGATGGTAGTGATAGTAGGACTATTAGCAGTGGTAATAGAAGCCGTGAGGGTGATAACAGATTAGTATTAGAAACAGCTGCAGGAGCAACAACAACAGCAGGAACAGCAGCAGCAGAAACAGCAGCAGCAGAAACAGCAGCAGCAGAAAGAGCAGCAGCAGAAACAGCAGCAGCAAAAACAGCAGCAGCAGCAGAAACAGCAGCAACAGAAACAGCAGAGAAACAGCAGAAACAGCTCGGTCCTTATGATTATTACTCCTCAGAAGCAAGCAACAAAACATGCCATCAATACAACCAAGTGACAACACGGAGGTTACTTAACAGCCAGATGTAGACGGAGTTTGTGGGCACTATCGGGGATGTTCCACCTTGCAGGACATCAAACACCGCCAGTAATGTGGGATCTTGCGGTTTGGCCAAGAGCAACATGTTTGTACATCCGACTGTAGCCAGTTCCCGGAATGTTAGCACCTTTTTTGTATTTATTATTAAATAAAATAACCCTACCTACTTCACGTCTTGTTACATAATACAATTACCCTAGTGTAATTTGGTGTTAGAAATTAACAGAAAATTCCAGGAAAATTTGACTAAAAAGCTTAACTAAATGGGGAAGCAGAAAAACGTGCACAAAACAACACAAATAACGTAACGTTTCGTGTGGGCAACCTTCGTCAAAACACTTCATGTTTAGCAAAGGTTGCCAGGCCAAAACATTACGTTAGTTTTGATGTTTTGTGCACGTTTGTCTTCTTTCCAATTTGGTTAAGCTTTTAAGTCAAATTTACCTGGAATTCCATGTGTTAGCTTGACTGCAGTCAGCCCCATATTTTCACTATTTTTTTAGAAATCAACAGCAGAATAGGACAGGCTAAGGTTTCACTTCACAGAATAAAGAACATCTAGTGCATCAGCTCCCTCTCTCTGGATGTCCGCAAGAGCGTACTGAAATGTTATATAGAACCTATATTGCTGTATGGTAGTAAATCATGGAATGTGAATGCACACATTTCATGTCGTAAGAGTCGACTAATTGGGAGCTTTCTTCGAAGTCAGAGTGCATCTGCCTAGGAGGCAAGGAACCAACAGTCTGCATACAGATAAGTCTGATATGTAAAATGAAAGCATATGCAACACTCAGGTTTTGGAACAGGACTTCAGTCCAGAAGTGGACGAACAACCAGAACTTTCCGCCGGAGTTTACAGCTGGTGAATGCGAAAAGAAGAAGAAATAATCTGGAGCGACGGGAATGTGGTCCCTCAAACGAATGTTAGGAAATGATTGCTTGAAGGAAGCTAATGAAAGCAGATCAATATATCCAGCTATAAGGAAAATACAAGCACTGTTCTGTGGTCATGTGATGAGCGGGGGAAGGCTGTGGAGACAGTTGTAACGACTGGAAAGATCAACGATATAAGAGAGAGAGAGAGGCAGACCCAGGCAGATAATGACGGACGGACTGCGACGGTGGCACGGAATAATATCATCGGTGAATCTGACCCAGAGGACACGGGACCAAGATTTGCGGAGATGCTAGAACGCCTAAGCTACTCGGCAGGGCACCTGATGATAATGATACATTCTTTAATTAAGGATGCTCGCAATATAAGGTTTTCGCAAAAATACACACTATACTTTGTATGCAAAACAAATCTGAAAAACTCAAGTGCATTACGTCGCCAAAAAAACTGTGCTAAACAGTCATTGTATTACAATATTACTGCTATGGTCTAATGTTATGTTATGGAACCCGGAAAGTAACAAGTGATATATTCATTAAAACTTAAACAGCAAATTTATAACCGTAACACGGTTAGGTGTATTATCTCTTCTACGAGATTACATAATTTAATATTACCTCCCCCCCCCCCTTCTCTCTCTCTCTCTCTGTCTCTCTGTCTCTCTCTGTCTCTCTGTCTCTCTCTCTCTGTCTCTCTCTCTGTCTCTCTCTCTCTCTCTCTCTTTCTCTCTCTCTCTATGTCTCTCTCTCTGTCTCTTTCTGCCTCTCTCTCTGTTTTTCTCTGTTTCTCTCTCTCTCTCACTCACACACACACAAACACACACACATACACACACTGTGTTTTTAACTACATTAAATAACGGAACATTAACTGTGGATTTGAAACA